ACTGTAGAGACAGTAAGTAGATCAGTGGTTGCCAGGGGCTCGGGGGGAGGGAGCGAGGGATGAATAGGTAGAGCACAGGGGATTTTTAGGGCAGTGAAACTATTCTGTATGATACTATAGTGGTGGATACACATCATTATACATTTGTCAAAACCTATAGAACTGGACCACACAAAGAGTGTATGCCAATGTAAACTATGGATTTTAGTTAATAACAATATATCAATATTGGTTTATCAGTTATAACAAATGTACCACACTAATACACAATATTAATAACAGGGGAAACTGTGCAAATTGGTAGGAGGTAGCTATGGAAACTGTACTTTCTGCTCAATTTTTTGGTAAACCTAAACCTGTTTTAAAAAACTAAAGTATGCTAATTTTTAAAAAATGTTCTAGGCAAGCCAGAGGATGAGCCTGGGAAGTCAGGGAACTCTACAGATGTGAAATGACCTTGTCAGATCAAGGGAGCATTTTAATTCTCAAAACCAGTAGGCAGTCTTCCCCTAGAAGAGGCACATGAGGAGAAAGAATGTTTCCCTTGTTCAGTTCCGTATTGATACTGCTGAGCCCAGAATCCATACCTCAGAGAGGTGAGTCTGTAACTGGAGAGTCTGTGCTTCACCACTGGAGCTGAGGGCCCCTTATGCCTCCTGGGGCTCGATGTGCAGCAGTCCCTTCAGCAGTATGATAACAGGAGATTAAGGTAAGAGGACAGGGCTCCTCCCTAGGATGTAGAGGTGATTTGAAACGGGAATCCTGAGCTTGTTGGTGTGGTTGGTTGGTTTGGTTTTAAGAAACTGGGTTGGGGGAGCGCAGCCATTGAGTGTCTGAAGAAGGGATTATACGGTAGTGAATTAATAGTATAAAAATGTCAGCTGACTTTACAGGAACACGTACCTCAGAAGGAAGGAAAAGATCTCAAGGAGAGATTTCAACAAAAACACCAGGGGAAAATGACCTTCACCTTTGAATGCCCAGTTCAGCCCTTCGCTGGGTGTAGGCGTCTGATCTGTAAGAAGAGTAGTTTATCAGGAGAGCCTCCCAGCCCTCAAGGTCTCATTCAGACTCTGGAATCATGTAAGGAAAAGACAGATCTCTGGGTGTATCTTTCCTAGAGACATACCCAAAGGGAGAAGTAGCAAAGGGTCAGAAAGCTAGCAAACTGGCAGGTACCAAAATTAGCAAATTTGCCTTTAGAATTGCATGATTTTTCCCTTCTACCCAGGTCAAATAATAATAATAAGTAGTAGTAGTGCTAGTAGTAGCAAAGGACAGTCTTCCTGATGCCAAGCACTGTTCTAAGTACCTTGCGTGAATTAACTCATTTAATCCCCACCACAGCCCTACCCAGTAAGGGAATTATTACTCATTTTACAGAGACTTCGGTGTAGACATGAAGTCATCTGCCTGGTCACAGCTAGAAGTGTTGAGCTGGGACTCGAACCCAACGCCAGCTCCAGAGCCCACTGTTTCCCCCTCACGGCACTGCGGCTCCACATCGACTCCACAGACCCCACGACTGCCTCGTAATATAGACCAAACTTTAAAAGAAGGAACGTGGGGATTATTTACCCTTTGGGTTTTAACCCTGCTCATCCGCCCCTACAGAAAACAGCAATACTGTTCATTCTACCCGAATAGGAGAAAAATGGGGAAGAAAGAAGAAAATTTATTAAAAGGAAAACAAAACACCACCTTTTTTTTCTTTCCCCTCGCAGCGCATGGCAGTATCGTCTCAAGAGCCTTTGCCTTTTTCTGGAGGGAGCGTTTATCTGGCTGGCATGCGCACGAAACAACACAGCTGCCCCACCTGACGTGGGAGCTCCGGGTTCAGCGTCCCGGGTTCTAGAAGGAGTGTCCAGAACCTCCACAACCCTCCAGTCAGCCCCCTGCCCTCCCCGAGAGTTTGAGCTTCCCGTGCGGCTTGGCTGGTATTGGTGGGTTCACAGGGCAGGATCCAGGAACGCTTCCTGCCTTTGCAATCCCGCTCAGCTCTCCAGCTGAGGAGCCTTTGGGCGGAGGGCCATGCATTGAAGCTGAACGGACTGTTCCTTTAAGGAAAACCACTCTTCCCCTCTTGATTAAATGAGTAAATTAGTTCCAGATCCTCTGTCAGAGAGTCAAGCTGTTCAGGAGGGTAAGGGTGAAATAGAAAATGTCTTAAGAAGGATACAGCTCTTCTTTATTTACTATAATAGGAGAAAAGCTAACTAGCCATAGAGAATGGATAACCAAACATTTTTAGAAATGGGTTTTGAATATAGTGTGTTTGGAAACCAAATTCTGAGCACAGGGCCTCAGGCTCAGAAAGGGTTGACACTTGGTTTAAAGCTGTGCTGTCACCATCTTGAAACTTAATAATTTTTGAACAGAGTCCCACATTTTTGTTTTGCGCTGGGCTCAGCAAATGATGTGGCCGTGCTGTCATGAAGTCTGTTTTAAGTCAGCATGATGTAATTATGCACACTTTCTCCTCAATTTCAGGTACGCTAGTGTGTCCTGTCCAAGTTTGCCAATCAACTTTTGTGCTGCATGTATTTTCTTTCAACGTCTCACCGGGTGGTAAACTCCTGACATTACATATACTCACTAATCTCTGCTGGAGTGTGCCACGGTGAAGTTTTGACACTGCAAAGTACTGAACATGAGGGCTAAGCCACTAGTGTTTGTAAACGAAAACATTTCAAAGCTCACTTCTTCCTTTGAGTGGGTACGTCAGGAATTGGTACAAAACCTTCTCCTAAAATGGAGAGAGAATAAGGGGGTCAATCAGGTTCTTGTCTCACGTGGGGCCTTCAGTGAGGATGCAACCCTGTCTTTCTCAACTGCAACACTCAGGGGACTGACTCAGGACTTTGGGCAATATGATCAAGTCAACCCCAGTGCTGTGCTCCCGGGCCTGTCTGGCAAGAGAACCAGAGGGGAGGGATGAGGGACGTCCATGGATGTCTGTGTGATTTGGGGAGCGAGGCCTCTGCTGGCGTACTTCAGCTCCTCAGGTTTAAAAATGCTAGAGCCACTGTTGGTCCTGTTTACTTGCAAAGATTCCGTTACACCAGCCAATGTCACTGAGGTGAACTGAGGGTAAACCCATGGCCCTCCTTATTTTCAGGCCATAATGTGGGAATCAATGATAGGAGAATATTCCACCGCGGGACCACACATGGTGTTTCTTATAAAGCGATGATGGGAGTTTACCAGAAAGTGAAGGCGTCCCATCAGGGACTCGGCCAAGGCATCCCCATTCACAGCAGCCCCATAGAGGAAACTGGAAGAGTCGTAACGTGGGCGGTGGGCTAGCACTGGGGAAGTGGCCAGGCATCCTAAGGACTAGAGGGAAGTCCATCTGTGAGGTAGGCGACAGCAGCAAGCACTTGGATCTAGACTGGGAATTATGTGGGTGAGGCCCACCCACATGAGGTCAGGGGGTGGGCAGATGTGTGTGAGCTAGAGTGAAAGCAAAGGGAGTCCAGGAGGAGGTGGTACTGCCAAAGTCTAGGGATGCCAAGCTGCTGGTTTCTAGGGCAGTGAGACAGCTGTGGAGGGCAAGGTAGGCTTGTGCGCCAAGCTGGCTGTCGAGACAGAAACCCGGGGACAGAAGTCTAGTTATCATGACTTAGATGGAGCCCCATTAGGAGCAGGGATGGCTTGAGGTAGAGCCTGAGAGGTTTGGGTGGGGCTCATGCAATCTTTTGAATCTAAGGTCCGAATTAATTCTCAGGACTGAGATGAAGCTAAAACTTCAAGAGAGAATGAACTCTGCCCGGCTGGTGAGGAAGAAGGAATGCAGTCACTGGGGGCTGTGTGGGCTGGCCTGTGGCGGAGTTTCCTTTCACATACATTGAGTTGGGTTTTCTTTATTTTCTTCAGCAGTTCTAACAGATATAAGCATTATTTTTATTCTCATTTTACACCTGAGGAATCGGAGAAGTAAATGGAAGTGCCCAAAGTTAACGGATTCATCCAGTCTGGGCAACTGGGGCTGTCTCCAGCGCCACCATCTCTGTGCTCTTGGCTTCGATTAGATGACTTTATGAAGTTCCTTTGGTGGTAGTTGTAGCAAAATGATGGAAAGCATGGGTGGGCTCTGCAGCCAGACTGCCCAGCTTTTTGATGCACCCACCTCTTCTGGCTGTGTGACCTTGGGCAGGTTACTTGACCTCTCTGTGCTGCGGTAAAATGAAGATGATGACGATACCTTCCTCACGTTGTAGACATGAGTATTTAATGGAATGGTATATGTATGGGTTTAGAACAGTGCTAGGCACATAAGTACTTAATACACATTACTGTTACACTCGATCTAGAAGTAAAGGTCTTTAGGGAATATTTCAGATGTTAACAGTCATCACTACCCAGTGGATGGATGGAGCCATGGCAAGGTTAATCCTAAAGAGTAAATACTGTGAAAGCCATTCCTATTTATTTGGTCTTATAAATTTTTTTTTAAAAAGCAAGATTTTCTCATTAATTGAATTTTGACCCATGGACTAGTGCACTTAGTGAGAGACTGCGCAGTTAGGAGGCAGAAATTTTGGGTATAAGTCCTTGATGTACCACTTCCTGGCGTTGTGAGCTTGGGCAATTTTTCTAATGTCTCTCGCTTATTTTCCTTATCGGTGAAAAGTACCAATAAAAGGAATGACAGCCTGCCTCACAGAATTATCCTGAGAAGGTAGAATGAAAGCACTTTTACATAAAACGATGCCATGTGTTGGATATTTTAGTTCCCTGACACAAACCTGCTGTAAACAAGAAAAGGCTAGCTGTCTGCAGAGTAGGCGAGGGGAAGCCATTCTGGAATCGAAAACTGTGACACAGATGATCCGCCCTCGCTTTGGATATTAATAATTTAGTAAGGTCGCCAGGTGGGCCCCAGACAGACAGGTCCACAGCCAGTTCCAAGGACTTGCCGATCTTCTTTCTTCTGTGCCGTTCTCTTTATGACAGCCAGATTGTGCTTTTGTTTTTTTATTTTCTCTCTACCTATGCAGGGGACTCAGATCCCACCCCAGTGAATCCTTGCTATGATGGGAGTCACACATGCGCCACCACGGCTCGGTGCCATCCGGCGACAGGTGTAGACTACACCTGCGAGTGTGCATCTGGGTACCAGGGAGATGGACGGAGTTGCGTGGGTAAGAGCCGAATGCTCTGTGTTCCCTCATGGAGTCCTCCAACATTATGTCCGTAGAAGACAAGTGTCTGCTTTGTCATCTCCATGGATCAATGAGTTTAGCAGCTATTCATCTAAATACAGCTATTTAAAAACTAAGCATATTCTGGTTAGGTTTAAGAGGGTAGTTTGGAGGTGGGTATTTTTGGCTGGGACTCTGAAAATGGCTATTGTAATGCCTGGATGTTTTACATTCTCAAATGTTGTCATTTTAAGACGGAATCAAGTATTTTTTACATTCATTAAAGAGTACATTTTCTGGTTACCTTCAGATTTCAGACATTCACCTATTTCTTTCACTTACTGTATCTCAAAAGCAGTAGTGGAAATTTCTTTACATTTTAAAAGAAAAATCGTTACTTTGTGTGTTTCTCTTCTAAATGTTCAGAATTGTTTAAATGTTTAAAGAATTCTCAGAATATTTGTTCAAAACATATCTCCCTGGGGCTCATACTTGAATGACTTGAAATAAATGTTTATTTTTATGACGATCTGCAACATGCATCCACATCTGGTGCTTAGCCTACATTTCAACCCCTGTTGAGTCTACCAACCGTTAGTATCATTGAAACCTCTTAGGGGTGAGCGAGCATTGAGTTTGCAGACCTTCCACTTGTGGGGACTTCGGTTTAAACAGCTTTTTCTGTTCTTATTCCTTCTTAGATGTAAATGAATGTGCAACTGGCTTCCATCGCTGTGGCCCCAACTCTGTGTGTGTCAACTTGCTGGGAAGCTACAGGTGTGAGTGCCGGAGTGGTTATGAGTTTGCAGGCGACCGGCACACCTGCGTCTGTGAGTGCCAAAACTGTGCCTCTTTTTAGCCAAAATCATGCTGAACCTTGCTCTTGGACTCATTACTGTTTCCACTTCTGTTATACAGAAGTTCTGTTGGATGGTTTTTTAGAAAACAGACAATTTACATTGAAATAACCCAAAGCTATGGCTCAGCTCCACCCTGTTTGTTGGGGTTTTGTTTTTGTTTGGGTGTTTTTGTTGTTGTTGTTTTTCTCTAAATAGATATTTTTGGTGTAAGTTATGGAAAGATGTTCACCTCTGTCGAGACTGCTGTGTATCTTGATGTTTGGCCCAATCATGTAACAAGACTATGAACTTCTCTCATACCAACAGGTCTAGATAGAGGTCAAATGTTTCTCAAATTAGAATGAAATGGATTTGTAATTCATAGAGGCCTGTCTCACTTGACTGGTCAAAGAGCTCCGTCTGTAATAAATATAGCCTTTCTAGAATTCCAGAAAAATACTTGACCAAAGAGTGGATCCAAAAGAACTAGAATTCCAAATTCATCCCACTGTTAGAGCTAGATGGTATTAGAGACAACCCACTTTTTAATCCAGTGAGATGAAAAAGTAGCAATCACAGAGACTCTGTGTGTGTGTGTGTGTGTGTGTGTGTGTGTGTGTGTGTGTGTGTGTACGTACGTACGTATGCAGGCATGCAAAGCAGCAGTGCTCTGGGGAGTTATAAACTTTAATCAAGGACAGTTTTTGATGACTGATCTTCATGCCTAGTGTTATAGCCACAAACCATGATCAGCACTTCTCAAATTTTAATGTGCATACAAACCATCTAGGGATCTTGTTAAAATTCCTATTCTGATTCACTGGCTCTGCTCTGGGGCCTGAGAACCTGCATTCCTTATAAGCCTCCAGATGTCCCGATGCTCTTGGTGTGCAGGGTTCACCCATTCGCAGGCCTGGGCTCTTGGACATCCTTGCCTTCTTCTCTTTTCAGTGATCGCCCCACTTCCCAACCCCTGTGAGGATGGCCGTCACAACTGTGCTCCCGCCAGCCAGGCCCAGTGCATTCACCACGGAGGCAGCTCGTTCAGCTGTGCCTGCCTGCCTGGTTATGCCGGTGACGGGCACCAGTGCACCGGTGAGTAACTGTGGGCGGCCTCAGCGCCCCTGAACGTTGCTTTGGATGCACATCCCCAGGGCCTCTCAGAAGCCTCTCCCTTCCTTTGACTCACACCGCTGTGGAACTGCCAAAAGAGAAAGAAAAGGTGTCCTTTGAGTCAGAAAGAGAGGCCGAGGGTGATTGCCCTGGGACCAGATTGTTGAGCATGTATGGTGGTCCTTGGAAGAGCCGTGCCTGGAGCAGTGGGGAGACCCTGCCAGCTTGTAACCTTCTGTTCCCTGGAGCTAGTGAAGGAAGGGGGGATGTGGGGAAAGGCATATATCCTCCTGGGAGGAAGTCTCCATCCTTCAATCTCTCTGGCTAATGGCTTAATTCAGCACTTCCAGTCCTGCTTAATTTTTAGTTGCTGTTCCCCTGCGTGAAGTGGTAATTTAAGCAATCTCTAAACATACATACAGTTCTTTCTGTGGAATTTATTCCCTTTCTTCTCTCTCTCTGGAAGGGGAGAAGGAGAGAGAGAGAAGAAATAAATCCACAGATATAAAAGGATATTAATGCATACCTAAGTACTCAAAGCTTTTCTCCCAGAAATCTAACTATCTTTAAGACTTCATACTGAACTTTATAAAATCACCAAACCAGAAAGCAGGACTAACTGTTCAAATTTAACTTAGAAATGTGTGAGGTTGCTACTGAAAAACTAGGCATAACACTGATTATAAATGTTCATGAAACTGGGATTAGTAGTACCTTAATATAGAGATCATTCAGTAAATCTACATAATCACTAAAGATCTTCAAAACATCAGTCAGTAATGCACACAAATAATGGTTAAATGAGACACTGGGAATGAGAGGATGGTGGGAAAAGGGTCGATTTTAGGAATATAAGCCTAAAATGCAGGCTTTCCCTCTCTCATCAAATTGCTTCTTGCCTCTGTCCCCGTATACCTGGGCCCACTGAGCTGATTTGCTAAGAACAGCCTTGTCACTCCTGGGAGCTTCTTAACTGATCGAATAGCTTGGCCCTGACCTCCTCGCTAGATGTTTGATTCTCCTCCTCCTTCCTTTTCCCTTTGGTTTCAGCAGGACAGGCTGAGTGGACCAGCAGCCTGAAGCCATACGTTATTGACAGAATAGACATGTCAGAGCAGCACAGCCCCTCTACTCCTTTCCAGATGTGGGGTTTTTCGGGATTGTCTGAACCTGGCTCTTTAATGTTTCCACTTCTGCTGTACAGAAGCTTAGCTGTATGGTTTACTTTTGAAAACATAGTTTATATTGAAATGACCCAAAGCTGTGGCTCAGTTCAACCCTGAGTTGTTTTTTTTCTCCCTAAAAACACCCTCAGGTTTATTTATTTATTATTAAATTTTAAAGAATCAATTTTATTTATTTTTGGTTGCGTTGGGTCTTCATTGCTGCACACGGGCTTTCTGTAGTTGTGGCGAGCGGGGGCTACTCTTCGTTACGGTGCGCGGGCTTCTCATTGTGGTGGCTTCTCGTTGCGGAGCACGGGCTCTAGGCGCGCAGGCTTCAGTAGCTGTGGCACACAAGCTCAGTAGTTGTGGCACACGGGCTTAGCTGCTTCATGGCATGTGGGATCTTCCCGGACCAGGGATCAAACCCGTGTCCCTTGCATTGGCAGGCGGATTCTTAACCACTGAGCCACCAGGGAAGTCCCACCCCCAGGTTTAGACAGAGCTCAGGTGCATTTCAAGTTAGGATGAGGTAGATTTGTAAGTCACAGATGCTTGTCCCAGTTGACCGGCCAGAGAGCTCCATGTGTAATAGATACTCTGTACAGACAGAGATACCCTCTAGGTCTGGAGGGAGGGGTGTCAGGTGACGCACATAAACTTCTCATGTTTTTGCTAAGTCCCGCAGTGGAAATACTGCTCTTTCCACCTCGTGGGACTCATCCTTCATTTCGATTTAACACACTACTGGCTCTCAGAAACGAGAATGCACAAAGGAAAAAATCTTGTCAGTAGAATTTCATGTTTAAACATCTGGCTGCTCAGGCCAGCAGAGATGGTGTTTTGAAAGTATTTCATTCCTTAGGTCTTTGGTTTAAAACAAAGAAGTTGAGATTATTGCAACTTAGATGTGATGAGTGTTAAAATCAGAATGTTAATGTAGGTGAGCTGCTTCTTGTCCTAACCCCTTCTAGAATCATTCTCTCTCCCTTCTTTTAACTTCTGCCTGTCCTGTAGGACTTGGGTTACATTTTGGGGTCATACTAGGATCCTGAAATTAGCTACTTTTCCATGCTGGGAGTTTTATAGGGTTGTCATTCTTTGTTATTGTTGTCTTCTTGCTGATTTCTGCCATGTTCAGTTGTCCCTGTTTTATCTCGTTCTCTATTTTTGAGATTCTCTCTGGAACCCACAAACTTAAAATTGGCCAAGCCCATCCATTGCTTCCCCAGTGTATTAGTGATCTACTGCAGCATAACCAAACCCCCCCCAAACATAGCAGCTTAAAACAATACACATTATTATGCTCTATAGGGTCTAGTCAGGGGGTCTCTGCCAGATCTGGGGCCTCATCTGAAGGCCCAGGTGGGGAAAGAGCCTCACGTGGTTATTGGCAGGATTCAGTTCCCCAAGGACTATCGGACTGAGAGCCTCGGGTCTCTGCCGGCTGTTGCCTGGAGGTGACCTTCAGCTTCTTGCCACGCAGACCTCTCCTACAAAGTAGCTTCCTTCATCAAAGCCTTCAGCAGGGGGTCTGCCGGCAGGTTGGCAGTGATCACAAAAATGACATCCCCTCAACACTGCTTTAGTGTCTTGGTTGGAAGCAAGTTACTCAAAGGAAGGGGATTACATAAGACACTGAATATCGGGAGGAAGGGATCTTTGGGGACCATCTGAGAGGCTGCCTGCCATAGTTACCCTGTGGTTGCCGTCCAAGCTTCCAGACTGTGGGGTAGTAGAGAATGAATAGTCATTTTCCTAAATACCTGTGCTGTGCATAAATCAGGCTGGGCTAATCATGAAGGAGGCTTGCGGGATAAGTATATAAATGTGTGTGTGTGTGTGCATTTTTAAAGGCATGTCACAGGGTGCATGTGTCCCAGTGACCATAGCGATAGAGAAAAAAGAGAAAAATAGAGATGAAGCCTCTATTTTGTGGAAGGTGTGCACACTTGAAACACACATTTGTTTTCACTCCATCAAACTAGCATTAAAAGGGTGTGTGGGTTTTTCTCCAGCCAGTTTGTTAAAAACCAGGTTCCCTGGGGAGGCTGCACTTGGCTTTGGGTTCTCGACCTAGTCTGAGTCACTAAGAGGAATTACTTTTGTGCAACTAGAATGAAATCTTTCCAGCTCCCCTCAATGGAGATTGATTTCAGCCCTGCATTGGTGTGAGCTGGATATTTCTCAGGCATGTTTGTCCCTGTAGGTCTTGATGATCCTGCCGGGTGGAAAAGCAGAGTGTTTTGAGCTGGGACCTTTCCTCACGTGTGAGTTGATGTACTGGGTTACAGATGGCCCATTACCCAGAGAAGGGCTGTGAGGAGAGGTACTTATGCTGTCGTCTCTCGTGGTTTCTATTGGAAGCATGTAGGTGCTGGGTAAGGTATAGTAAAGTTGGCGTGGCCACAGCAGAAGCAGAGAAGCAGCTGATTATATTCACAGGTCCCAGAGAGTGGGTCACTGCATGCCACACAGCATCCAAAGGGCACAGCCAGCAGCAGGGTTCTTGACCGAGTAGGTGGGAAACAAGAACTCATGGGCCGAAGCCTTTGTTGGGGTCTGGAGGCGGGTCGATTTGAGTTGGCGCCAGGAAATTTCACTGGGTGGTTCAAAAGCAAAGCAGGGGAGGTAGAGAGGGGGGAGCTCGAGTCCAGGGGTTGGGTTTGTTTTGAAGGGATTTCAGCTGCTTTTGGGTGTGGGCTCAGGAGTAAGGCAGGGAGAAGAATGTTGAAGCACCAAAGCATGAACTCAAAATAGAGAATTTTTAATACAGTTTCCAAACAGGTTTTCTTAGCAGCTTGGTAGAGGACAGAATGGAGAATTACACTGAGAATAAGCCATCTTGCGTTATCTGACTGGTAAGGGGCTCTACTCTGCCTTGATCCTTGCTGCGTTGACCTCAGTGTTCTACCAGTCCTTGAAGACCCCAACAGTGATGGTTAGGCAGCGCCCCCATCCCCAGTGGTATAACAGGAAGCTCCTCCCTTGCCAAGGGGTCGAAAGTCTCTGCGCTTTCTCTCGACACCTGACCGCCTGTGAAATTGGGAAGACTTCTTTACACAAAAGCTCGGGTTTCCCCCACACACTCCTCAGGATTGGCGCTCCTAAGGAGGGGTGTAACCTGCTCCGTACCCAGGCCCCGGAGTAGCTGGCGAGGCTCCAGTTTCCTGCCACGGTGCAAGGTTCTCCAAAGAGGTGTTGGGCACTGTGCTTCAGGGAGTCTTCAACTTCTCCAGCTTTGGGGGACAGCTGTTGTTCACTTGTGATGCTTTCAGTCTCTTCAGAGACCTTCTCCCAGTTGGTCGTTCATCCGTTATTGTCTCCCCATGACTTTGGTATCTGTGGGAGGATGGCTGCTCTTTCGGGTCTGGTCAGAATCCCTAGGCCATAGTCTTTAAGAACATAACTCGGTACCTCTGGGGGAGTCCTCTTTCTCTTAGTTCAAAAATAATCACAAGCAACTGATCCGTGGTTTCTAGAAATAGGCCCCGTATCTCAGGAATTCCTGCTTCCTGCCATTGCCTGGGGTTCCTGTTACTAAGAGAAGTACTTCTAGCATATGCATTATGAATAGCTTTAAATTCCTGCATTTGGCTCGACGTTAATTTTTACAGCTTTGGTTTTATAGCATCTTCCAGTCCCAAGGACCTGGATGGGCACCAGCTTCATCCAACTGGGCATTTGAGTTGTCCTTCTGAAGAGACAGAGGGCCAACCTCAACGATAATTAAATAGGACACTATAGAATCCATGGTGATTGGATTGGAGATAAGCTTTTTGTTGTTGTAATTATTTTTATTTGGTTTATTTTCGGTTAACTGAGGAGCTAACCAGCAAACCTTGTTTGATTCTAACCTTGCAAATGAATTTATAACCACTTTCCAGCCTTTGTCAGTGAAAGGAAGGTGACTAGACAGGCCCAATGCTCATCTAGGCAGAGCCTCTGTGGGTGGCATTAAACTTGGTTGTGTCGGGCATTCAGGGGTTTTGGACTTCAGAGTAAACTAATTTACGTGCAGTAAACTCCCTGAGCCTGAGGATAAGCAGTATAAGTAATTACATTGCTAATTACGATGTCAGAGATTCCTCTCCCCTGAACAGAACGCTTGTGTTGTGTATCCAGCACATCCACTTACTGGTACCTGGGAAAGGCCCTTAGTCATGGGAAGGTGGCTCAGTGAAAGCATGGTCACAGCAAGGGTGGCACTGATCGCCCTAGGAGAGATTTCACCTGGGTCCCGGAGGCTGGGCGAGGAGTCACGTCTGACTGACGTCACATTCAGGGCTGTAAGTCTCTGGCTTCCAGGGTACAATGTGTCTGTGCACGAGCTGTACAAAACTGATGCAGTTCTCTCCTTCTGGGACTCCTCTTCTCTCGGTTTTACACCGATCACCCCGTCCCACATTTTTCCCTGTTCACACATTTTAAAAACATAGATGCGACTACTCTGTTTTATTTTCAGTTGAGCGTTGATCAGGTCTACACCCTTTATCCTTCTTTTACTCAGGAAGACTTCCTGTCTCTGAAGATGGCTTATCTCTACCACTGGCCATTGGTTTCAACAGTTATATTTTCAGACTTTTATTTATTTTTTGGCAGCAGGGTGGAGCGGGGGTGGTGTCTTGCTATTGTCAGCCTGTGCTGATTTCAGTAAATAAAAGGAATGTAAGTCAGCCTTTGTTTGAAGTTTCAGGATGTTGCAGTTTTGAGAAATGTGAGAATTAATCCTCATGGTACCATATGGAGAATGTTGGGACCTGAATTGTTTGTACTGATAAGCCAGACAAATTTAGATTTTCTTTTCTGTGTGTTGTTTCAAAATCTCTGATAATATTTTTCTTATACTTTTCTATTCTAAAGGTGGAAAGTAAAGAAAATTTCTGATTAATTGGGCATTCTAGGTAGTAGGACTCTCTGACTATGTAAGACTGAATGGGCTTCTTACTTAGCTGAAGAAGTATTTGGAGCCTCAATGGGTTCTTTGCATCTGTAAATCAGTGCTAAAGGGAGATGGTGCCAATAAGGAAAGGAAAAACAAAAAACTATTGTTACGTATATTTATTATATGGAATACAATGGAAGGGAATGAATGGTTTATGGACCTAGTTCAAAGGTAAAAACTTCCTGGAATTCACTGTAGATGAAAGGTGCCAGGATATATTTCTCTGGGAAGTATATGTTTGATTTCTACGCTGAACGTGTCCCTCGACTTTGGACAGTTAAGCTTGTCTTTAAGGTGCCGACGTGTTTCTGCTCACGCCCAAGGTCTTCTGAAGTGGAGCCCTCGGGGTTGATCCGTGTGCACTAAAGCCATGTGGTGGCATAGATTGTGTGCAGTGAAGTCGTGCTCCTTCCTTCCTTCC